GCCCTGTGCAGGGAATCGTCTAGAGACACTGGACAGCAAACTGATAGTTCCTGTCGGAAGGGTGAATCGAACCAAAGTCCTTGTTTGAGTGCGGAGAGTGCTACTCCCTCGTTTAGGTCGGATATTGTGGATTTAATTTCTTTGCACCTAGTCAAGTAGGATCGCAGGAATTCTTGGTAATTCTGTTTACAATTCCACAGGTCAGCTTCCATAGCTTTGGATACCATGAATACCGAATATTGCTTAAGGAAGGCCAAAGCAAGTTGTGTGAAATTATCGATGGATCCTTCTTCTAGTCCGACGAACCATTCTAGAGCGTGTCCGACTAAGTTTTCTGCGAAGAGCCGTCAAAAGCCTGCTTTTTTTCTTAATCGTTTAGGTGAGCCCGGGCTACGGCTAGCCTGAAAGCTCTGAAGTGAGCTAGGGGATCTGTAGTTCTGTTGTATTCTGGGAAACGCATTTTTCTCGTGTCCCTGATCTTGGTGTTATCTATGTGGTTGGTGAAGGGAGTTCTCCGAGTTTCTTCCAACACGCGATCTTTGTCAGAGGCTGAGCTCGTAGCTTTATGCACAGCCGAGTACATACGTCTGAGCTCTGCGTTGTTTGCTTCGATGTATCGCTGGAGAGCATCAAAGTTGGTTATGGATCTTGGATCTATGATAGTCGGGGCAGTGAATTTCGACAGTGGTTGACCGCATGTGCTCCTTTGCCGGCGAATTCCGGATAGGAAGGTTTCGTAAGTTGTCTGTTCTTCGTTAGATCGCCTAATTCATAGGTTTGGGAGAGTCAAATTACGACCTGGCGACCTAACTTTGGTCGGTGATGGTGGCGACAGTGGATCACGAAGATCGTCTGCTGCAGCCGTTCCGTTTTCGGCTTGTCCGGATCCAAAGATTGGTCGATGGTGGACTATCGAACTAAACATCTGGTTGATGTTAGTTCGACGGGTTGTAACGAACTGCGTTCACAGATTTTCGATCGCAATCTGTTCGAACTCCATGCGAGAGATTGGAGCTTTGATCTTCGTCTTCGGATAGATCGGCTGAGTCCTCGCCTTGAGTTTGGATTGGTTTTGCCCGCTCTCGCCGTATATCGGCTATCTCTTTCTTGTTTCATGCGAGGATAACTCATTGTTTGCGGGCTTGTTCCGCCAGAAAGGATAGCATCCTTCGGAATTCCGACAGGTCGTCGCTGGTTACTGTCTGAGACGATCCAGCTCGGATTGGTTCAGTTTGATCCGAACTAGTGGATCTGACTGGTGGAATTCTGGGTTTCATCCAAGTCAGCAAATACGTGAACATTGGAGCCGTTGTGGACTCTGAGCGCGTCACGGCGGGCATGCCGATAGTCTGTGTCGCACTCAAAGTACCAGTTTGAGTCGAGCTGGTTATCGGATGTGCGACACTTGACTCGTTCGTCTGTTTCTGGGCGGACGAGCTATGTGGATTGATGATTTCGATACTTCCAGATCGGTTTGTGATGCTAGGGTTTAGTGCAAGGCCGGAGCTTGTCTTTGGGCCAGATGTCTCAGTGTTTCTGGGATCCATTTCGTTCTTACTTGTCTTTGAGATCGGTCTCTGGTGTAAGAATTTATTTTTGTATGTTCCCCACAGTCAGCACCAAAATCTGGATCATAAAATCCACACTCAAGAATTCAGTGTGATGCTTTATTGCTGAAGATTTTGGGCAAGAACTTCAATAAGATCAATGTAAAAGAAGACAACGTTCGACAAATTGGATTTTGTATTGATCTAAAAATGTGTTTACAAAGTGCTTTTGTTAGCTGGAATCGGAATGCTTTTTACAATGTGTTAAACTCCTATTTATACTAGTTTGTCGAGCCGAATAACTCCGAGATTTCCGGGTTGATACGTTATCCTCTTCTCCGAGATCTCCGCGTTCACTTATCCACATCTCCTCGTTGTCTTAGTCTGACTCGCGCCGAGCATATTCCTGGAAAACGCTTACTCTCCCATGTTTGTGGGCTCGAAGGCCCGAAGTACCATTGTAATAGCCTGTTCGTGGTGTGGGCCGGATTTGGGATAAATCTAACACCAACACTACGAGACACGAATCTGTCTTTTTATCATTTCAACTTTCATACCTTATTGCAAATCGTGCATCCCAAATCCGCCTTGTGTGAGATAGAAACACTTTAAATTCCCACTACAAGGAAACAATGCAGGATCGCTGCCTTCCTTTAAACTTTCTAATGGATTTTGATGACCTCATATCCGTCAGAAATCATCAGTTGGAACATTCTAATGTGTAAAAGATCTGAGGATGATGTAGCCGTTTGAGCAAGAAATTTCCCATATATATGATTCCACTCTCATTCACAACATAAGCAGATTCCTCCGTTAACATTACATACGGCCAAGTTGTTTTCATTTATTTCTCGGTTGACTTTATTTAGGATTATTTGAGTAACTCACATAATTTTTTTTCCAAAAAGTACGTCCAACTTTACGACTTTCGAAATGAACAAACGACAGAAGAATCTAACTAATTAATTACCTTTCATAACTAATAATCATATATGATGTCTTATTAGGAGATGAATGATAGACGACTATGTTATGATTTTTTATGATTGTCATGTTTTGTTCCCATTTCGTCTCATCCCTTCGAGCTTTTAGATTAAAAACATTTTTGTACAACGATTTTAATTTCCATCCTGCGTTTATTTTAACAAAGTCGATCCTGTCCTGAATTCACGTGCCCACCCCTAGGTACATCTAAGGGGAAAACACACTTTGTAAGTTAAACTTATTCCAAATTGAAGTTGATATTATCTCCTTCCCACGTGAGAGAACTGATCGAATATGCATCTCCATGATGCCTTTCACGAACCAGATGAGAAGTAGCTCACGGAGTGTCACAAGGGAACGAGACGTGACAGCTGGTGACATGGAGCTGAACTGGAGTCGGAAGCTGAGCTGGACAAGCCAAAATGTGAGTCTCAAAATTGTAGCTGAGCTTGACGAGCATCAGATAGTGAAGTATGGAAGACTTCTTTGATCTTAGGAGAAGAATAAGGAAGTATGAGATATTCTTGAAGATTCGGTGTGATCTTCAAGGCGAGTAGAGGTTAGGGTTAGGTACAAGTTTATTAAGTAAAAATAGACGTGTTCAAGTATCATAGATGCTTAACACAACTGAGAGAGAATTCTTATCATAGGGTGAGTGATTGCTTGTGAGAGATCATAAGCTGAGGGCTAAGGGATTCTATCGAAAGATTCTTGGATCAAATATAGATCCTAGAAGAGGTGAGACAAAAACGGCAAATCAAAGTTTGTGTTAAGTTTATCTTAAAACGTGTTAAGGGTTAAACTTGTATGGTGACTTAAAAGATTTAGTAGAAATATATTTTTGTGTAGAAAACTCTATGTGTTCTGTTATGTTTTAGTTCCTGTGCCATAGCTCTAGCATTTTAATTAATTATCAGAGCAGTCATCACCAGACGAGAAGTAGTTCATAGAATGTCACAAGAGAGCAAGACTCAATATTTGGTGACCTGGAGCTGAACTCTCTGGTAGTTGAGCTGGACAAGCCAAGATGTGAGTCACAAAAGTTGTACCTGAATTGGACGAGTATCGTGGTGACGATATTAAATTTTTGAAGATTTTCGTAATTTTAGAAGTATAAGGAAGTACTTTGACCAAAAAAAAAAAAAAAGAAGTATAAGGAAGTATGAGATATTCTTGAAGATTCGGTGTGATCTTCAAGGCTAGTATAGGCTAAGGTTAGTCGTAAGTCTATTAGGTCTTAATAGACGTGTTGAAGCATCATGCTTAACATAACTGAGAGAGAATTTTTAGCATAGGATGAGTAATTGTCTGGTAAGAGATTATAAGTTAAAAGTTAAAGAAATTCTATTAAGAGGTTCTTGGATTAAGTATAGATCCTAAAATAGATGAGACTAGAACAATAAATCAATGTGAGTCTTGAGTTTGTTTTAAACCGTTGAAGGTTAAACTTGTATGGTAACTTAATAGATTTACTAGTAATATATTTTTGTATAGAGAAAATTTTTTGTTGCGTTGTGTTTTAGTTCATGTGTCGTAACGCTTGCATTTTCACTGATAAGATAAATCTAAGTTATTTGTTGTCCTAGAAAATAGAAAAAGCATAAAGCTTACAAGTTTGGTTTAGCTTCAAAACTTCCTAGAGTGAAGAAAGCGTGGCAGTCTTGACTAAATCTTTACAGTGTCATTCAATGTCCCTTAGCATACTATCATTTTTACGTCACAATACATGAAATTATCATATACAGTGTACCAATTGTTTCGCCCATTAAATTTTGATATACAGTAAAAACTCTATAATTAATAATGTTGGGATTTTGATATTTTATTAATTTATAGAGTTATTAATTTATAGATTTCAAAAAAAATATTGTTTATTTTTTATTAATTTACTTTTTTTTTAAACAAAATTATAATCTTTAAAAAATTCTTTCTAAAATTAAAAATAAGTTCTAAAAAGATTTTCATTTAAAAAAAACATCATTAAATTCATATTTCAGTAGGATTATCTCACTTATATGTTTATATCAAATTTTGTTTATAATATTTATTAATTTATATTATCAATGGGACCAAATATTTATATAGGAGTTTTGTTAAAATTATTATCTTATTATCTTAGCGAATTGTATCATATTTTGAACTGGTCCAATTTAAAACCATAAAAATTTATTAATTTATCGTGTTTATTAATTTATCGAGTATTAATTTATAGCGTTTATACTGTATAGCCTATTGACCCGTGTGGCAATTTTGTTTCAAATATAAATGACTTAATTCCCCAGCAAGAGATCATATCCAGAAAAAACACTACTTTACTCTCATCATTTGTAGCTCCTCAAGGTGGCAAACCAAGGAGAACACGAAGAGTCCAGGGCCAATAACCCTGAGGGAATCAAACCAGAAGCTAATGATGTCTACAGTTTTGAAGAAGACCCTGTGGTTGGGAGGTTCAATAGGTTTGGTACAGAGATGTCTGCCATGGTCTCCGCTTTGACACAGGTTGTTTCTGCTCGCTCTCTAACATCTTCTTCATTTGAGACTCAAGGAACCAACTCTTCTTCCTCTTCCGTTGGACATGAGAGAAGAAAGCTTGGAATCAATTCAGCTATTCCCTTGTCAACATCGTCGCTCGATCGGGTAGAGTCATTCCATAGTCCGATCGGTAAAGTCTATATGTAAAATCTCTTCTCCTTTTTTTTTGTTAACCGGTCCATAGTTTTTATTTATAATCTTTGTTTTCAAATTGTTATATTTTCTTTTCATATCAGTATAGTTATATATCAAAGTACGCAGCCATGTGGTGAACACATAGCGAACTATTCTTTCGCCTTTTACTAAAAAAAGTTATATATCAAAGTTTTCCATTATAATGCATGCATGTGGTTGTGTTATGTTTGCGCTTATATACTTCGTATCCGTAAAAATATTGTAATTTAAAGATACTAAACAAAAGTTTTCACGTATAAATACATAAAATATCATTTAAAACAATCGTGGATTTAATCGTTCTTTGTACAGAAGAATCCACAAGCAAAGCGTTACCTGAAGAAGTGAAGGAGAATAGGAGGAGATACAGAGGAGTAAGGCAAAGACCGTGGGGAAAATGGGCGGCTGAGATACGCGATCCACATAAGGCCGTTAGAGTTTGGCTCGGGACGTTTGATACAGCAGAAGCAGCCGCTAGAGCCTATGACGAAGCTGCACTCAGATTCCGTGGAAATAAAGCAAAGCTCAATTTCCCGGAGGATGTAAGGATTCTTCCGCCTCGTCTTCCTGCTCCTCGGCCCCCTTCTCCTCTTCTGTCATCTGCAACAGTGAAGGATGTAGGAAAAAAGGATATGAGGGATTATTGGAGTTATTTCCAGTTGTTGCAGACCTCAGACCAACGGACACTTTTCGGGCGAGGACAAGAAGAGAGTACCAACGTATTGAAACATTCACCAACGGAACGATCTCTGCCTCCTTCAAGTTCTGGTCCAAGTTCCTCTGATTTTCCAGGACCTTCATCGGGCTAATACATTTTTGAGTTTTGATAAAAAAAAATGTAAGAATGGTTTACAAAACATTTAAATAAATAAGTTATAAGAAAGAATGATTATTATGTCTGTATAATTGTAAATTTAAGTGTCATCAAAAATTTTATTTCCAAGATATTACTTCATTACATCAGTTTTACAACTGCTCCGTTGATGTCATTCCAAAATTTCTTCAAACGATTTTATATTGGTTATACTCACAAATATAAAAATAAAGATATATGTTAAGTTTAGAATCAAATAATTCTGTATTTTGATCGTATTTGCAAGAAAGAAATCAAAAAATTAAAGCAGAGTTAGGCGAGAGACAAAAATTAGGTAAGATGCACATAAGAGTAGGCAATAGGTTAGCTCAATGTCATGTAAATTATACATTTTAAGCTATCTTGTCAGAATCCTTGTAATGATTATTGTCTAGGACCCATAATTCGTTTTTCGGACTTTTTAAATTATATGCATGATACATTTTTTTTTTTTTTGGTTAAAATATGCATGATTCATGTTATGTGGATAACGTTAGTTCGTCGAGACGGCGTAACTCACTTATGCATTCTTGAGTTTTAAATCAAATTCTTTTGCAAGATTCCTGAGAATTTTTTACCCGAGGAATATCGTAAGTAGAAATCATGAAGGCAGTATATGAATCATGCCTTAAAACTCATGTAAAATATATTTTAGAGACAAAGACTTTCTACAGTTAAGAACAAAAAGATCTTTGCCTTTTGAGTTTTGAATTAAACTGTGTTTGCTAGAATTTTTAAGATCCAATTTGTTGAAGAAGTCTTGTTAAAATGAGCTGAGGAATATCTGGCGGTTGGCTTAGATGATCCAGGAAACTTTTGGGAGGCTCTCACAATTCCTTAGAGAGATTGGTGGATTGGAGCTATGACATAGGGGAATGAAAGCATGGAAAAAAAAATCAAACATGGATCTAACGTTTTTACCAAAAGCAAGAGGGCGATAGGATGTAAGTGGGTTTTTAAAGTAAAACCTGGGATGTATGAGAAGTAACCAGTTAAATCTAAGGTAAAATTGGTGACAAAGGGTTACTCACAGAGGAAAGGGATTGATTATGATGAAATTTGCTCCTCTGTGGTGAGGCACACTTCTGTTAGAGCTGTGTTGAGTTTGTTAGCAAGCTGGGATTTCCATCTTGATCAGATGGATGTAAAGACAGCATTTCTTCATGGAGATCTAGACGAAGAGATCTATATGGAGCAACCAGAGGGGTTCGTGAAACCAGGAGAGGAGAAGCTTGTGTGCAGACTTAAGAAATCTCTGTATAGATTGAAGCAACTCCTACGCAATGGTACAAACGTTTTGACTCCTACATGGTGAAGATTGGCTACACAAGCTGTGAGTATGACTGCTGCGTCTATGTAAGGTTTCTGGATGATCATTCTCCCATATTCTTATTGCTTTATGTTGATGATATGCTCATTGTTGCGAGAGATATGGAGGATATTGATAAGCTGAAAGAGTTATTGAAGAAATAATTTGATATGAAGGATCTTGGTGCTGCAAAAGAGATCCTCAGAATGAAAATTCGCAGAGAAAGAAGCTCTATGAGATTATGGCTTTCTTAAAAGAGCTATATTTAGACGATTGTAGACAGGTTTGACATGACACCGTTGGTGATGCACTTCTCACTTTCAGCGATGCAGTGTCCTAATTCTGATCAAAAGATCAGAGATATGTCAAACGTTCCTAATGCAAGTGCAGTTGGTTGCTTGATGTATGCTATGGTGTGCACTAGACCTGATTTAGAACAAGCAAATAGTCAAGTGAGTAAGTACATGTCCAATCCTGGAAGAGAACACTGGAAAGCTGTCAAATGGATGTTTAAATATTTAAGGGGTACAAGGGATCTTGGGCTTATGTTTGGTGGTCAAGAGTGTGGTTCAGTTTTGGGTTATGTGGATTCAGATTATGCTGGTGATCTAAACAACAGAAGGTCTAGTACAAGCACAGGGTATGTCTTTACTCTTGCTGGAGGTCCTATTTGTTGGAGATCTGTGCTACAGTCTGTTGTGGCAATGTCTACCACAGAAGCTGAGTATATGGCAATGGGAGAAGCATCTAAGGAAACACTTTGGATCAAGGGAATTGTGACAGAATTGGGTGTTGATCAAGGTGGAGTTCAGCTCTACACTGACAGTCAGAGTGCATTGTCTCTAGCTAAGAACCTGGTATATCATGCAAGGACGAAGCACATTCATGTCAGATTTTATAAGATCAGAGAGTTGTCTGCATCTGGAGAAGTCTTTTTGGTGAAGGTGCACACGTCGGAAAATGCAGCTGATATGTTGACCAAGCCTGTTAATGTGGATAAGTTCAAGCATTGCGTGGATTTGCTCCATGTCTTCAAGTGCTAAAGAATAAGAAATTCCCTCGAAAGTGGAGTTTGAAGGTGACTTTATGGAGATTCTTTGTCAAGGTGGAGATTTTTGTTTTTGGTGACAAAGATAACTAAAGACGCCCTGCTAGAATGAGCTGTGAATGTAACGGGCCGAAGGAGATCGATAAAGAAAAATCCTTTATCAAGTGGGTTTGGGAGTCGGAATTTTTGAGGGTATAAATATAAAACTTTAGGGATTGTAATTGTATATTCACATAATTAATAATAAAATCCTAAACGGGTGTTTGCCTCAATTGCGATTTCTTTCTCTTGTTTATTGCTTTCTTCAATTTAATTCATAACAGAATTCTTTCGCTAGAAAATACAAATCATGAAGGCCAAATAATCTATATTTTTATGTCAGTTATATGTGTGTACTTGGAAAAAAAATCCATTCAGTAGATGTTGAACTTTGCTTAGGAAACTCTCAGGTTTTGTTTTCTCTCTTAAATTTTCACTCTGATTTCTTTGCAACTCTCAATCTCTAACTTTCTTTTTCATTCATACTTCCATACATATCTCATTACAACATTCTTATAGAAGTTTCACTACTCATTACACTCATACTCTTTAGATCTCTGAGTGTATTACCATTAGGTGTACTTTTAAGTTATCTAATATCCAAAAAGGGACTTTTGTATTTTAATTACCACAAGACACATTTTTCTTCTGTTTGGTTGATACAAATGACTGTAATATCCATTTTGCCTCTTTTCCTTATTACTGAGCTCTTAGCAGTAAATTACATATTTCCGGCAACTTTGATATTCCCTCTTATTTTCTGGGGGAAATTGTCCGGCGAGGTTTATTTTTTCGTGTTTTAGTTTTTTATTTCGTTAGACGAGATCGAAGAACTAGTGATGGAAGGTTAGTCTGTATTAGAATCTTTGTTGTGGTGTAGTTTATGATTTCAAAAATTTCCGTTGACACTGTCTGATGTAAACTGTGTATCTTGTAGGTGACCAACCTAATCTAAGATGACCACGGCGTTTGTTTGCAACAGATCGCTTTCCTTGTTGCCGTTTGAACATCTATTCACGACCAACAGCTACTTTGACACTGGTCCACGAAGCGTTACGAGGCACGCCTGAGTTCGATTGCATCAGAAACTCGTGTTTGGAGCTTTACGACATCCCTGTAGCTCGAGCACCAATATCGTGCAAGCTTATCCATGCGTTACTAACGCGTCAGTGGATATCCAATCAGGTTTTCTTTGAAAGAGTTTCAGCTGGAGACTGGCTTGCCTTGTAGTGAGTTTAACGACGATTACGATCCTGATTCAGTGTTTCAAAACGAAGCACTCGGGGTGGATACTTGTTGGCATAAGTGGATTGGTGATGACAAGAGGACCACATGCACCGATATTGCAGAGATGTTGAAGTCTGAAAAAACCATGAGCGGTGGCAGATAGCTTCGCCTGACACTTATTCTTATACTTGAGTGTTTTTTAATTGCAAAAACACAGACCCACAGACCTACGCCGCGTTATGTCAGGCTTGTTGACGACCTGGACGCTTTTTTATGTTTTTCCAGGGGCCGAGAATCTTTCTGGGTGACAATTGCGTCAATGATTCCTATGCATAAGACATTTAAAAGAGCAGAAGACCCAGTCTCCCATTTCGCTCAACAATTGAAACAAGAGACATATAGAATGCAAGGATTTCCCTTGGTGCTACAGCTAGTAACGTTACGATGTGTGCCCACATTAGTAGCTAAGGTTCCTGAGACAGTGGATAATCTTACACTTCTTTATTTAAACATGTTGGGGTTATCGAAGCATTCTGCATTGTTAATGAATGAAGTACTTGAAGCTGAGGCAGTTGTTACTATAATTTATTAAATTTTCCTAATGTAGTAGTGTGGATAACCTATAATATTAGATTTCGTGGAAGCTAATTGAAACTTTGTGTAGTTGGTAGTACACTCCAGTGTAGGTAATGACACAGAAGAAGTAGACGTATGGGGAGAGTGGGACGACGAAGTCCGAGATAAGAAGGTTTTATACATGTTGGGTTTGCTAAAGAACGGTCAGCAGTTTCAAAAACTTGATTGGCCTAGTGGTGATAATTCTCAACCATTAATCAGGGTAGAGCCTTAGGTCACCAAAGGTAATCATAAGATTCATCTCATAGATAGGAGGGAAAATAAGAAAGGGACGTCAGTGGAAAGAACATAAGACAGTAAGCGTCAGAAGTGATAATTCCATTCTGACCGAAGCACTCGAGGATCCCGAGGGTCGTCAGAAATGGCTTATCGAACAGTTGTTTCTGTTAAGTGAAACGGCAGCCAAACTAGAGAATCTAATTATGAACCATGTACTGCTGGAGTGAAAAGAAAAAGAAGGGTTAAAACAACTAAGCAGGAGACGGGAACTAGTAAAGCGTTGATTCCTGTAGAAGATGGGATTCGAAACCTTAGTGACCACGAAAAATCAGCGGAGTCGTGTGGTGGTGAGATAGCCTCAAGTATTATTGCGGCTGGTATTGAACTCCCGGACAAGAGGTTTGTACATTGTAAACATAAATTTCCTTTAATATGACGGAATAAATGTATAGTGGATTAAACTATGACTTTATTTGCA